GTAGTTTTTATGGCACTGACCACAGGTAGAAAAAATTCCTTTGCCCTTGATCTTGGCAATGGATGCTCCGTATTGCACATATAACCTGAAGTTCCAGGCGGTACAGTCACATGGACTTTATTTCCTCCTTAATTCAACAGTTATTGGGCACCTACTTTCAAAGGACCATGCTCATCACTGGACACTAGGCTCAGCAAGACATACTCTCTGTTCTCAGGAGTTTACAACCAAGGAGAGAAGACAGACAGATGGTTACAAAGCAAGGCAATAAGCACATACAGGGTGCTACGCCACGGGAACAGAGAGAACACCCAGTGCTACCGGATGGGTAAGGGCCAAGGATAAGTAGGCCTAGTCTAAAAGGATAATAGGAGTTCAAGTGAACAACCATGAGCAGAGTCAGGCAAAGTGTTGGGTGAAAAGGAATCTCAGAAATTGTGGGGTACACAAAGGGCATCCCAGAGCATCAGGATTAGAAGGGCAGAAGGCAACATCCTAGGGTACCCCCAGAACTTGGGATAGCTCCAGGTGCTCTTGCATCTCTGACCTGCTCTTTGACTACCCACGGTTGAATGGATTAAATGGATTGATCCGTGCCCCAGGAAGAATGCTCCAGCTATCAAAGAGAGCCTGTGTGGTTAGTCTGAGTTCTAAAACTCTTCAGGAGGAGGGGTAAGGGATAATTCATCATCATTCACCCAAGCGACCTGTCTCACAAGTTGACTGATTCAACGATGCTGCTGTAAAGCTCTTGGCAGAGTGCTGGCAGACTTGGAATCAGAAACATAAATTTAAGACATTGAATAAATTCTTTAGTCTTCCTGAACTTCAGTTTTCTATTTCTAAAATAAGGAAAAGAAATCTTTTTTAAAAAAAAAATATTTATTTATTTATTTTGAGAGAGCCAGAGAGAGCATGAGCGTGTGCACAAGCGAGATGGGGGTGGGGCAGACAGAGAGGGTGAGAGAGAATCCTCAGGTAGACTCCCTGCTGAGTATAATAGCTGAAGCAGGGCTCAATCCCAGGACCCTGAGATCGTGACCTAAGTTAAAATCAAGAGTCAGCTCCGGGATCTCGCATTATTTCCTGTTTCTGGGTCTCTGTTTTAGCTACCACCAAAACCAGTGTGTCAGGAAGTCCCACAGTCTCCTCTTCCTGAGTTCTCTCTGCCCACAAATGGCACTATCATCCACCCAGATTCCCAAGCCAGAACCTGCCAGTCACCGATGACCCCCGCTCCTTACTCACCTTCGCCAGTCACCAAACCCAGCTGATTGCACTTCTCGGGAATTCTCAACTCCTCCCCCAGCTCTTGATCCCCACTGCTACTGGTCTAGTCTCATCCCTTGCCAGGAATGCCATGGTCTCCTGTCTGGCCTCCATCCTCCTTCCAGCCCTATCCCCATCCCATCCAGTCTCCATTCTGCAGCCAGAGTGTGTGTGTGTGCTTCAGTTGTCTGGCTTCTCCAACCCCCCAGGAGCTAGTTATGAGGGCAGAGACCCTGATCTTGCTTATTATCGTGTCCCTGACACCTAGCACACTGCCTGGCATGAAGTAGGTGCTCATTAAATGTTTACTGCCCCCCCCCACCGCCATGTTTGTTGTTCTCCCTTCTCTCCCAACTCAAAGGCAAAGAGAGATGATTGGATTGAAAGAAAAGATAATTTGTGGTTCACCCGTGTGGATGCCTGCATAATTTTCTTTGTATAATGGGACTGCTGCAGGCCCCTGACAGCACCTTCTCAAAGGAACCCCAGGCTACTTTCATAGCAGCCATAAGCAGTAAAAGAGTAATCAGATCAACTAACTGGAGCTAATGAATGAGCTGGAGAATCTAGTGCCTTCTCCAGTTACATAAAGACAACTCAGCTGAATGTCTCCAAAAATCTTTAAAGAGTGAGCAAAATGGAGAGAAGATGGGAAGAAGGAATGCTATGGACAGGGAACCGGTTGGTCAGAAGCCCACGGAGCCTACACATGGGAGTGATCCAAGAGTTTATATTCCCTCTAGCAGGGCGATCCTGCTTGAAGGTGCCTGGGCCCTCACTGAAATTGCCCTCATTCATACACTCAACAAATACTTATTGGGCATCTCCTATAAGGCAGACACTGTTCTAGGTTCTGAGGATATAGCAGCAAACAATCCAGACAAAAATCTCTGCTTTCATGCAGCTTATATTTTAGTGTAGAGGGGAGACAGAGAATAAAGAAAATATCTAGTTTGTCAGACTGTGAGAAGTGCTGTGGAGAAAGATACAGCAGGGCAAGGGGGATAAGAATTCTGGAGATGAGAGTACTGCTCTTTTGTACACGATGGCCGGAGAGAGCCTTTCGGAGGCGACATTAGCACAAATGCGTGGAGCCTCCTTCATGTGTTGCTCCAGTGGCTGAGCACTGCAGGTACCTTAGGAGAATCTAATTAGCAACATTCCTGTTGGCAAAGGTCTTAGCGGTTGCTCCTTTTTGGGATTTTCCAAGCTCTCTTTTGATGATCTGAGATACCAGTCAAAGTAGGATTTTGGTCTGGTCCTCCCAGCAGTCACAGAGGCGACTTTCCTTCCGTGCCCTGTGGGTCAAGGCTGGTTGCCTAGGGGATGCTGACACCTGTGAAGACAGCTAAAGCAGGCAGAGGGTGAAACTTGTCCTGCTGTGGCTTGTTCCCTGGTATCTTTTCGGGGCTCTCCGGTGCAGATCAGAGCCCCTTTGGAGTTAAATTTCCATATACTTGGGTGGGAGGGTCTGGACAAAGTGGCAGTAATGCTTCTGAGTTGTACTTTGATAAACACAGAAAGCCATACCACTAGAAAGAAGAAGGGAATGAATACTGTGTTTTAATGATGGGCTATTCATTATGCTAAATTTTTTACATACATTATCTTATTAAATTTTCATTACTCTGCAAGGTAGGTATAATTGCCACTACTTTACAGAGGAGAAATGGAAGGCTCAAAGATACTGGCTATTTCCCTCCTTAAAAAATATTTATAAATATATAAAACTAGTTTATAACCATTTCAAACAAAAGTAAAAAACAGGAAGTGAAAGTACCTCATAGTCTCACCTCTTAAAACAAGTGGTGAGAGTATAATCTTCCTTAAGTTTTAAAATGTACACACAAACGTATACACGTATACTTTTAAAAAAAAAAAAAAAAAGAAACTTGGACCGTAGTGTACAGACTGTTCTGAAATTTGCTTTTTTCTTTTATCTTGGTTATCTTGCCACGTAGTTGATTAGTCTTACTAATGAAAGCAAGGCTTTTCTCTAGAACTCTCTAATTGACACACCTGGTTGCGTCACTGCACTTAAGTCACTTTACCTCCGGACTGCAGGTTCCCCTATTTGTAAAACGAGGACACGGTACAGAGGAATCCGCTATGGAATGCCAATGAGCAGAGCGCCTCACCCCCTGCCCGCCTCGTGACTATCTGGGATGTTCTCCAAGGTCCAACCCTACTTGACTTGGACGGCAGCCGCCACTTTCAATAACTCAGATCACAAAGCCGGCGTCAGGGACTCCTTGAAACCCAGGCGAGCAACGGGCGGTCCAGTCGCTCTTCTCGGAGACTGATGCTGACGGAAGCGGCTGGGCAGGGCTGGGGGCGGGGCCGAGGCGGGGCCACAGGCGCGCGGCGCGCGATGCGTGCGGGCTGGTAGGCGGGC